CAGGGGAAAATACATTTTTTAAAACCCTAATTCGTATCTTCTTCTTCTCCTACAACACTCTTTTTATAGCTTTCTCTCCGCCCCATTAGCATTTTTCTCTCGATTTGCTCTCACGGAATATCGCAAGAACATCTGGTAAGATCAATCGATCGAACAAACACCAGCTTTCTGTTCATCGCTATAATCGTATCAATTTGTGAACTCACTACTTGGTGTTTTTCCTATGCACCAGATCCGATATCAGAACCCAAAGTTCGTGAAATCTCCGTCTGAGCAATGGCTTTGGTGAGTTCTCTATGATTTGTGTTACTTGTCGTTTTCCAGTTTACTTTGTACGATCGCATCTTGTATTGATATGTTGCTACGATGCTTATATGGTCGTGAAGATTGTAGTACCCGTTCGATCTAGTATTTTCTGACGGTGAAAACTATGTATTTGTCGGATCTAGATTCTTGAAGGATTGTTTATATACCAATTTTGATTGAAATTTGTTTAGTTTTGGACATCTAGCTGCTTTCTCTAGTGTTAGAGAGAAATCTTCTTGAAGATTCTAGAGAATAGAGTTCTCTGTCCTGCAATTTCAATGTGTCACTGATCAATTTTTTTCCCTGTCATTGGGATCTTATTATTGCAGGTCTTGCACACGTACAAGGGAAACAAAAATGCTGACAAAGCACTCATTGTCGCAGAGTACACTGGCGTGAAGATTGATGTCCCCTCTGATTTTGAGATGGGTGTCACTAACAAAACCCCAGAGTTCCTCAAGATGAACCCTATGGGAAAGGTTTGGGAAAGCTTGTGATAGGTCAATTGTTGGAATGATATTGGGTTTTAATTGACTCTCTGTTAGCTAACCTAAAACTGTTGTGATCTTGGTAGGTTCCGACACTTGAGACTCCAGAGGGTGCTGTATTTGAGAGCAACGCCATTGCCCGTTATGGTAAAAGAAATTCATATCGTTCTCCTTTTGTTTGCCTCTCCATATTGGTTTAATTGCTCATTGTCATTTGGGTATAATGGATGTTTTGATATCTCACTGTAGTAAGCCGCTTGAATGGTGAGAACTCTTTGAACGGATCCTCCCTGATCGAATATGTAAGTTCCTGTTTTTTTTACTCTTCCTTAGTCTGTCTGCACTGTTCTTTTGTATGTTGATCGTTTGGTTAGCATTCTCGATTTTTATTTGCATGTTGTTACTTTGCAGGCACATGTTGAGCAATGGAGCGATTTCTCCTCATTGGAGATTTATCCAAACATCTTGAAGTGGTTCGGCCCAAGAATGGGCTTTATGCCATACAGTGCTCCGGTAAGCTTTTCTGACTTTCACTGATTGTTTCATTCACCTGTGTGATGACAATATAGGTATTCTCTTCACTATATCAATACTACATCAGTATTTAACTCATCCCTGATTGTTTTATGAAGGCTGAGGAAGCGGCTGTCTCTGCGTTGAAGAGAGCACTTGATGCTCTGAACACACATCTCACTTACAACACTTACCTTGTTGGACACTCTATTACCCTTGCTGATATTATCACTGTCTGCAACTTGAACTTGGGATTTGCTACTGTCATGACCAAGAGCTTTACCTCTGCATTCCCTCATGTTGAGAGATACTTCTGGACCGTGATTAACCAACCAAACTTCAAGAAGGTGGTGGGTGATGTAAAACAGACCGAAGCTGTCCCTCCTGTTCCTTCCAAGAAAGCTGCCCAGCCTGCGAAGCCCAAGGAAGAGCCTAAGAAAAAGGAAGCCCCTGCACCAGAGGCACCCAAGTTTGCTGAAGAGGAAGAGGCACCAAAGCCCAAAGCCAAGAACCCTCTTGACTTGCTGCCACCAAGCCCAATGGTATTGGATGATTGGAAGAGGCTGTACTCAAACACCAAATCTAACTTCCGTGAGGTTGCTATCAAAGGTGTGTGGCGATCTCTTTCCTTTACCTAGTTTTATGGCTTTTCTCCAGGAGATGCAAGGACCTGTTTAGATATTGGAGTCAATTGCTGCATTTATTCATGTTTAATATTGTGGCTAAATGCAGGATTCTGGGACATGTATGACCCTGAGGGATATTCACTATGGTTCTGTGACTACAAGTACAACGACGAGAACATGGTGTCATTTGTCACACTGAACAAGGTGGGTGGGTTCCTTCAGCGCATGGACTTGGCACGTAAATACGCGTTTGGAAAGATGCTGATTTGCGGGTCAGAGGGTCCCTTCAAGGTGAAGGGTTTATGGCTGTTCCGTGGACCAGAGATCCCTAAGTTCATAATGGAAGAGGTGTACGACATGGAGCTTTACGAGTGGACTAAGGTTGATCTCTCAGATGAAGCCCAGAAAGAGCGTGTTAGCCAGATGATCGAAGACGCAGAGCCATTTGAAGGAGATGCTCTCTTGGACGCCAAGTGCTTCAAGTGAGAAGGGAATTGGTTTGGATTGATACTTCCATTGCCCAGGTTTTTGCAGCCGGGGATGTATCTATCATTCTCTCTCTCACTTTCTCCGTAGGGGTTTTGCTCTGTGACTTGTGTTTTGATACCTCTGAGTCGCTTAGACCGTTTTTCTAATCGGAGTGTTAAGGACAAAGGTTATGGTCTAAGTTTTGCATTTTTCTTGTCGACCTAATATGTTAAATCTTTTTTTCTGTTGTGACATAAGTTTTTACTATACTTCAGTTTATCCAAGTTATGATCATGGTTTTAACCTGGACCTTACCAGTCAGCCAATCTAAACCGTCTATTTGGTTAAATCTTCGTTTTACGGTAGTTGCTCGAGTTACTTTGTCTCGAAAGGTGTGAAAGATATTTCAAGTCTAAAATTGTTTTCAAGTCTAAAATTGTTTTTGGAGAATAAGTCTATGGTGGTGTCTATAGACTTGGTCTTGGCCATTTTGGTGGCTTTGGCGGCCGTCAAGTCTTTTTTAATTTGGTTTGGTTAGTAGACCAACCTTCATTATTGTTATCCACTGTCAATTCACCTCATTTCCTTGATTTGTTTTGTATTGGAAAACTAATTTACGACACTAATTTTGAAGAACTTATGTAACTGTTATCCACTGTCAATTCACCCCCTATGGATATTTTCGATTCATCAACGTTGCTCCATTTTGCTCATTTTTCTTTTCTTTTGTTACAACAAAGACATATGACTAGCAAAAGTATTACATATTTGCGCATATTCTGTCTAGGCATAAATGCTTAAGAACACAATTTTTCCAATTGTTCGAACATATTTGGATCGTTTTTTCATGAACTTGTGTTAAAGCATTTGGAGTGTCGGATTCGTTTCTTTCGCTGTTACCATTCAAATCAAAAATTGTTTTAACGAATACATGTGATGATCTTTGCTGATCGTAGAATATTACTTTTACCTAGATAACAAAATATTTTACAATAATTGTATTAAGTTTTTGGTAAAACGTTAAAAAAAAAGGAAGGAAATGTATCAGTTTACATATTTATTTTGTTGGACTAAAACAAATGAATTGTTCTTTACTAGTACAAGGCATATAATAATACCAAAAGAAAATCTGGGCTCGAATTGTTCTTTTTCCTTTATTTTCAACATCTGTAGTTGTTCTACCAGAAGAATTTTGTTCTTTGCTACAGCGAAAGATTGATCTCTCCTTGCGTACAACCAAAGTCTCAGATTGATAGAGAGGAATTGCGAGAGATGAGAGAGACCTCGGCCAGTGGTCTTTCATGGCGGCGTCTGATATTCTTCGCTTCGATTGGTCTTCAGTTCGTCTTAGGTTCGTCTTCTTTCAGATCTGTCTGATTTCGTTTTCAATGACGTTAGATTGCCAATTTGATTTCTCAGTAGAGTCATCAGATTCAATTTTTGGTTGGGATTTCTAGGTTTTGAATTCGCCAGATTTAGCTGAACTTAGCTCTTTCTAGATTTCATGTGTTTAATAACAATCTCTATATGCATAAAGTTACGTCTTGCTCTTTTGCGATCGTGAATTGAAACATGTAGACAGGTAGAGTCTGTTTCTCTGTTGAGTAGATCTTGAGCAACTAAGAACATTGGCGACACTGATAAGAAACCAGTAACGTTCTTCTTATATTGTTACGGTTCATGCATGTGTTTCTTGTGGCTATAATTTCCATGTGTACAATGGGTCTCGGTTTGTTCCACTGGACAATACTGAAGGTTACCTTTGTTCTAAGTGCGAAACCATGTCCTGATTTGAAGAGCTTGTGTGCAAAATCTATTGCTTTTGTGTGAGGGAGTTACTTTTTCTTTGTAACTATCATGGTATTATTTGTATAATTTATCAGCAGTTTCATGGTGATGCTGCACTTGAGTAATGAGACATGTATTACCAGTTTATGATTGAATCTCTTTCTTGTCCTTAATTTCAGACATTTGACCATTTCTTCTAATGGCCACCATGTAGGCAGATGCTTGTCCCGAAAATTATAGAATTGCTTGTTGTAATTGATCTTGTTCTCTGTTGTCAGTGCGTGGAGTTTTGCTCCCTTTTTGTTATAGATAAGCAATATGCTAACTATTTGATGATAGCAGACTTACAACAGCTCTTGAAATCATACACGTTGATTATTTCGTGTGTTTAATAATCTATATGCATCAGGTTACGTCTTGGTCTTTTGTGGATTGAAACAGGTAGATAGGGAAGACTGTATTTCTCTCTTGAGTAGATCTTGAGCTACTAAGAACCTTGGTCACACAGATACTAAACCAGTAACTTTGTTCTTAACATGTTAGTGAAGATAAAAGCAAGCAAAGAAAATTGTTACCACTCACTCAATTCATGGGTTTGGTAGTTTTGACGTGTACAATGGTTCTAACCGTAATTCATGGGTTTGGTAGTCGGAGAAACCGACTTTGTTCACTGGACATTACTTGGTTTTCTTTCTTTTGATTTGAAGAGGTTATCTGCAAAATCTATTGCTTTTGTGGAAGTCATTTACTTTTTCTTGTAGCTACCATCATGGTAATTATATAATTCATCAGTAGCGCCATGGTGATGCTGCATTTTAGTAATCAGGCGTATATTACCAGTTTAATTACGGTTAAGTGACTGAATCTCTTTGTTATCAATAGGTTCATACATTTGAAGTTTTACATAAGCCATTATTACTGCTGGCCACCATGTTCTTTTAAGGCAAAAATGATTATCCTGCTAATTCCGTAAATGTTTGTTACAATTGTTCTTGTTCTCTGTTGCCAGTGTATGGAGTTTTTGGTCCCCTTTTGTTGAAGTGAGGATAGATTGCATGACTTTAACATACTAAACAGTGTCTCAACAACAGGTGTTTACAGTTACGACTGCTATTGAGGGCATAAAACCTTGATTCTTCTTTAGCATGCTAAGATGACATCTACTAAATCTTGTGATATTATATTTCTAGGTCTATCCGGTGATTCCAAGAATACGAATACAGGAGGAGCTAAAGCTGAATCTCATACTTCTTCCAGCAAAACAGGCACAAAAGTAATCCTCATACTGGTCGGATTTGTGGCTGTAGCGATGTTCTCGTTCTTCCTATACAAGCTATGGCAGAAGAAGAAAAGAGATGAGCAGTATGCTCGACTGTTGAAGCTGTTTGAGGAAGATGATGAACTGGAGGTTGAGTTAGGCCTTCGAGATTAAAAAGGCAAATCTGTTAACAAGGGTCTGAG